AAGACCCAAGCGAGATAACCCTCCAGAAGGGTGTTCCCCACAACGAGTCCCAGATGGTCCCACGGCACCGCTGTACCATCGAATGGCCCCCAAACTCAAAACCGCTCGCACCGCGTTCCACAAAAAAAATAAAGGTGGCTCAGACTCAAAACCACATATGTCGAAAGCCCCAATAAATGTCCTTCCGGCGTAAACCGCAAGTGCTGCAACTCCAATAGCCAGTGCTACGTCCACCCACTCAGCGATTTCTTCATGCCGCCGGCCCATACATCACTGTCTCGCAATCCCAACCACGCACCAGCATCAGTCCAACCTCCAAGTCACACTGGGACCCACTATGACTGTTGCACACTACAAAAAAATGATGGCGGAATTACCGCTCGCTGCGCCGTCAAACTAGTACCACGCCGTTGTGCGGCATCATAGTCTAGTCACACACCAACAAAAACGGCTCCACCCCGCTGCAAGATCCGGCAGCACTGCCGCCGTTGTCATTCCTCTAAATGGACAGTACTTCCCCTTGACAATATCGCTGCCGCCGTACCGAAACAAACGGCAACACTTCCTCACCACTGCCGTTAAAATCAATGTTGCCGCCGCAAAAATCAGGCAGCGCTTCGCACCACTGCCGTAAACCCAATGCCACTGCCGCAAAAATCCGGCAGCGCTTCCGCGCCACCGCCGTTAGAACCTGTGCAGCCGCCGCAAAATTTTGGCAGCGCTTCCGTGCCACTGGTAAAATGATCCTGCCGCCGCCATGCAAAACGGGCAGAGCCTCCCCTGCACCGCTTGCCGAAGACCTGCCACGACTGGCAGCACCTCCCCACTGGCACCACGCAGCCCGGTGGCTATGGCAGCCTCCTCACTGCAGACCTCCACTCCACCGGCAGCACCGCCCCTCTCCAGCAGCACAGCAGCACCCAGCTAGCATTCACACAAGTGAATGCCCCAACAGCACTGGCACAAGTGTGATGCTGCTGGGTGGAGTGCTAGTTTTTATAGCCAGTCGGAGGCATGTGGGCAGCTGCCTTGCTCACAGCCAAACAAAATTCGTCAGAGCTCCTGGCCCTTGATCTAAATCAATGGCGAGGAGCCCTATGCCTTGGTTTCCCCTTAGGGGAACCAGGGTCATCAGTTCCCTGGAGCACCTGGCCGTTTCCCAGGCCAGGTGCCTCTCGAAATGGCTGTATTCAGCCAGACTGTTGCCTGTTCAAGAAACGAACAGGCACAGTCTCATCAGCCCCTAGAACCTTCTAGGGGCTGCACCTGTTCCACGGCCGCGACCATGTTCGCGGCCGTTTTCCCCTTCTCTCCTTTTCCTCCCCTCTACTTCTTTGTTCTACCTCTGTACCTACTCTATCCCCGCGGCCACGTACGTGGCCGTTACTTTTTGTTTCTTCTTACTTTTCTTTTCTTTTCTTTCTTTCTTCTTCGTACCCCCTTTCAAACTCATTTTTTTTATTTTTTTTTTTGTGAGGGGCAACTTCCCCGATTTGTCACAAAAACCTAAAGCTGCCGGATTCGAAAAACAGAATCTTTTTTCTGGAAACGGCGCTTATACGAGATGAGGCGGCTCGAAGAGCGGTCGCGCCATTCAAAATGAACGGTCGCCCCTCCCCTCAGTCGTTTCACAGAACCAAACTAGACAGTGCCAGGTTCGGGTGTTGTTGAGTGTCGCAGCCTGTTCCTGAAGTCGGACAGTCGCAGCCACGACAACACTAAGAACCCCAAAACAAAAACAAAAACAAAATAAGAAAAAGGAAAAAAGAACAAAAAGAAAGGAAAGAAAAAAGACACTCACCTGTTCGTGGTCACGTCGTAGAGACCCCCCCCTTGTCGTCGTCGCCAGGTAAGGTCACCTCTCCCTCTCTCTCTCTCTCTAAACAGTGATCGCGACCATTCGTCGTGAACGGAGCACCCCAAAGCGTATGCAGAGAGTCCCCGTAACTCAGGTACAAGGTCCCAAATCCCACAGTCGAACGTAGCCGCGTTTTCACGGTAGATCCGTTCGACTTTGCTCCTCCTATCAAAAGGAGAAGCAGCCCGTTTGTCAAAACGAACGGGCACTTATTAATTTTCTAACAAAGAATAAAAAAAAATAAAAACTAAACCAAATCTAACAAAAGAAGAAATAAAAAAAAGGAAAAGAACAAGAACAAAAGAAAAGAAAAATGGCAGCTCGTAAAAACGAGCGCCTGTCACGACCACTGGGGGCTGAAGTGCCCCAGACACTTCACAGTGCGGCATGTGGCGCTTCGCTTTAGTTCTAGTTTTAGGGTTTTTTTTTTTTTTTTTTTCCCCCACTATACCCACATCGTGGCTGAAGGCCACGGTTTTGTCATGCGGACCCAAGCTCGAATCCCATGGGATTCGACGAAATTTTCCAACCCCCTTTTTTTTTTTTTTCCGACCATTTTTCGATTTGTGCTTGTCATCCTTGCGCAGGGGCCATGCTAATCTGCGCGCGGCCGATCTGGGCCGCGCGATCTTCACGATCGGGCGGTCAGATTCAACCGCGCTGGCTTCAAAAAGCTGCGGCCAGCCCCCAAAGGAGCCAGCCCAGCGGTGTATGCAATTCTCAGATTCGATCCTGGTACCTGCCGGGTGAGAGTCTAGTGCTGTAACCTACTGGGCTGGCTCCTATCACGGTAGTGATAGGAGCAACTCTTCTATATGAAGAGCTGGCCCAGTCGCTATCCCCATGCCGAGGTTTTGCAGGCCCCGCCTGCCTATGGCCTCGCAGGCCCTGCCCGCCTGCCTGCGGCCTTGCAAGCCTTGCCGGCCTGCGGCCTTGCAGGCCCAGCCGGCAGGCCTTACCCCGTTAGTAGGTCGCACGACCCTGGCATTGGCCTAGCAACCCCCTGGCTCGGTGTCAAGCTCCGCAGCCAAACAAAAACTCCCCATTCCTTCTGCGCTGCGTCCCCATACCCGGTGCATCCCCCCTTTTTAGCCCATTCAGGCCCTGCATCGCGCGGCTTAACAGTCGCACGACATTACTCTAGGTAGAATAAATCTAGTTTACCGTTCCCATGTCCGCATTTTCCTGTGGCTCCGACAAAAGCGAAGCATTACCATTCACATTCGTTACTCTTGGACGCCACACGCGTTCGGACTAACGTTCGAAACTTTTAATCTGTCAGTCATAGGCCAGGTCTAAATAAACTTTTGGCAAACGTCGTCTCATCAAGTCCTTCAATTGTCTGCGAGGACACTGACTATGGGTCTTCCAACTTTTGGACTTTCAACCCTAGCCTTAGCTTCTTCAGCGCTCTACGACTAGTATAACTACGAGTAGCCCCGGAATCTATAAGGGCTCCTACTCTTTTTCTAAAAACCTCTACATCAACTAAAACTAGATGTCCGTTGCTATCCTTCTTCATTTTGGCCCAGACAGGCATCCTCTCCTTCAACTCTTCTGCCACACCTGTGAGGAAAGTGCCTAGAGAGACGCTAACACAAGTAGTCTCTGGACTGCTAGCTAGGCACTGGCCTGCAACCTTTGCCGAAGGCTCATGTGGTTTGGGAGTTTCCTGTTCGCGTGAGCTCGCTTCCCCACATGGCCTGGTAGTAGGGGCAGTTGCAACCCCTACCTGTTCGGGTGAGCTCGCTTCCCCACATGGCCTTGTAGTAGGGGCAGTTGCAACCCCTACCGGCGCCTGCCTTTCAACTCCTGGGCAGCCCATCGGGCCTCTCTGTACTTAGGACAATATTTAATAACGTGGGCCAGGTCACTGTTGTATATGCACTGACCTTGGCTCACAGTTGCTGCCACACGCGCTGGTCCAGGCCCAAATCTTCCCATGGCCTGCCCTGGGGCAAGCCTGGGTGCCATCCTCCTCTCCTCTGAGGTGATCCTCCACCTCGTCGCTGCGGGGACCGACTACGACCTTGACGATTTGACGGGGGACCTTGACCCCTACCTCCCTCTTGGCGGTTCCTTTGGCCGCCAACCCCCTGCGCGCCCGATCCTCGACCACCCGTGGCCTGGCCCCTTTGGCCCTGGCCTCCTCCTCTACCTTGCGGCCTCCCTCCAGCCGCGACAGCAGCATACGTCCTACCCTGGCCTATACCGCTGTCCTCCTCCTCTAGTCCCCACTCAATCTGACTGTAGGGGACCTCATCGGTACCACCTTCGTCCAAAGTAAGGATCAAATGATCCTTRGCCCTGACCTGACCTGAGATGGTACGACCCTTCCACTTTTTATCTTTGTCTAAGTCCTTGTGCCAGAAAGTGGACACTGACATGGACTTTGCCTCATACAACACCACCTCTCTACTCAAGGCATCGTACGCCATGGTGGGCTGTTGACTCTTGTCAAAGAAATCCCCTCGTAAGGGCTCTGGCATGGCACGATAAAACAATTGGACCAACTCGGCCTCAGTGAACCCGTGGTCCGGGACGGCTACCAAGTCGTCCATAACCGCTTTGAGTGCTCGCGCACTCCTCCACTGTCGTGAGTGGATGGTTTGGAGTTTGTTTGAGGCCTTAACACCACACCTCAGATCAGCAAATTGCTCGCGGAGGAGCTTGAAGAAGTGGGGAAGGGAGGTGACTTTAGAATAGGCAACCATGTTGTTATCACAACTGGCTGCGCGCTAGGGACCTGGCAAAACTGGTCGCGTCATCCTTCAAAACATGGAAGGCTACCAGAACCTGCTCCTCAGGTGCAATGTTCTGTAAGTACACGTAGCTATTAACACTAGCCTCCCAGTTATCAAAATTTTCTTCAGTTTTCCCGCCATACGCATTTGGGCCTTGAGCTTGACTGGCTCTTTGCGGGGACGCGTTTCGGCCTCGGTCGTGGCCACTACCTTGGCGCCTGCACAAAACTTTTTGCGCCTTCCTTTAACCTCTTGACTTCGGTCCCGACGTGGGTCACCACGTCGCGCGCAAACTCTCTAAATCCAGTCCGGATGGCATCGAGGGCCACTTCTTGACCCTTATTGGCCTGATGTTGTTCAAGCCAGGCCTGACTCAAAATCTCAAGATAACCCAGAATCTTGTCTAATTTGGCAGGGGTTTCCTGTTGCGCTTGCACCTCCTACCTACACGCTTGAATCTTCTCCACTTCCTTAGCCACCCGGTTGGCCTCCTCCCTCCTCCTCTTCTTCTCCCTTGCCAGGCGCAACTTCCACTCCAATCTCTTCTCATCCTCTAGCATCTGGCGGTCCAGGGGGTCCTCCATAGTTTCCAGTTGCCTAGCGATCGCTTCTTTCTCCTCCAGAGGCACATACAACATTGCCTCTTCATCTTCCCCCAACGACAAATTAGCAACCAACTCACCGATCTTCTTCTCCATCCACTTATCTTCTTCTTTTGTGCTGCTGCTTTCTCCTCTATCTCCCCCACGCCTCCTTTCTAGGGGTTCTTCTTCTACTTCTTCCTCCTTTGCTGCTGCTTCTTCTTCGGCAGCCCTCTTTTTCTCTTCCTCCTCCTGCTGCAATCTTATCATCTCCTCCTCCAATTTCTTCTTCTTCGCCGTCTGCTCCTCAGCTATCGCCTTTAACTTCGCTTGTTTGAGGAGCTCCTTCTTCTCCTTTCTCTCTCTCAGGATGGCGGCGATCCGTGCCTGTTCGGCTTCTGACTGTGGGGCAGTGCTTTTGCCAGTATGTGTCTCAACCATGGTGTCAGGTGCACAATCGGGCAATGGTTCCACTCCTCACCACTTAGACTCTACCCCCTTGACTGACAAGACCTACTGACTCGATCTAAGGACTATAGAATCCGGATAGGATCCTGTCAACTAGGGTCACTAGCATGGACCTAAACTATGGCTGTCACTACAAGACTCGTTGCTGATCAGGAGGCATTTAAGGAGATCCCCCGTAACTCCTCGTGAATTCTTTAACGTCGCAGACAGGACGACGCGATCAGCAGGTCCTCTCAAGACTTAGACGGCCCGTTGTGCAGCCCACAGCTCGGATTTTGGGCCTACCATGCCACACCGAGCAGCCCGCCGATCAGTACCGGTCCTTGGGAGGGTTCGTGTCCTCCGGGACAGTCAAGTCGTCAGACACAGTCTTTAGCCCTACTCAGCGCGTGTGGGTTTGGTCAACAACGCCCTATCCTTCATTCACAGAGTCCTATCGCCTGGACAGAAGAGACTCGATGCAGAAAGAAGAGACAGACAAACTTGACTCAGCAAGTAGCACACGGTGTGTGCACATCCATAGGGCAAGGGGATAGGCTAAAGGCTTGGCGAGACTATACCGGCTCCAGCTTGCTCAAAATCGTGGTCAACAGTCTTGGTCAACGCTGCAGTCAACCCCCGATCAACTCCGATCAACTCCGGTCAACTCCGGTCAACTCCAGTTAACACCCGGTTCGGCTATGGTGGTCGGCTTCCCCTTCGTTGCCACCCTTCTCCTTCCTTTTCACTTGCCTCGCCTCCTTCTTCACCCCGACTGTCTTCTCTTTTTGTTCTAGTCTCTCCCTTCTTCTTCCTCCGCTTCACTTCTCTCCTCGGTCTCTCCCTCAATCATCTCTTGCACCTCCTTCGTTACTATGTGGTGGAGTTCCGCGGCTATGGCCTTCTTCTTTGTTGGACTGCACAACGGTCTTCACAAGTACGTGACAACCAATCTTGTCTCTCTCTCTCTCTCTCTCTCTCTCTCTCTCTCTCTCTCTCT